TCTGAGAGATAAGAAGGCCCAAGACCATTAAGACATTTAAAAACCAATAAAAGAACTTTAAAATCGATCCTGAAACACACGGGGAGCCAATGCAGCGATTCTAAAACCGGTGTAATGTGGGCCCTCCCTCTGGTCTTCATCAGCACATGAGCTGCCGAGTTTTGTAAAAGTTGTAAAGTTGAAAAAAATCTCTGTCTCGTTCCTGTTTCTTTCATTTAAAGAACATTTCTGAACTGTGAAAAATAGTCTCCTTAGCTGAACTGGAAAAAAATTGTTCATGCATTTGTGTCATCACGTTTAGATTATTGTAATGCCCTGTTTACCAGCTTGGACAAATCATCTCTTTCTCGCCTCCAAACTATACAAAATGCAGCGGCCAGGCTACTAACATCTTCTAGCAAGCGAGCTCACATTACTCCTATTTTATATTCCTTACATTGGCTCCCAATAGATTTTAGAATACACTTTAAAATTCTTGTTTTAACACTAAATGCACTAAACGGCCAGGACCCAGATCATTTATCCAAGCTTCTCATAAAATATACTGCTGCTGCTTGTCTCTGCTCACAGACTCAGAGTTTGTTGGTTGTTACCCGTACACGACTGAAGACCAAAGGGGACAGATGCTTTCAGTCTGTGGCACTTTCTGTTTATTTTAATCTTTGTGTACAGCGCTTTGTGACGGCCTGTCTATGAAAAGCGCTTAATAAATAAACTCTACTTGCTTACTTACTTAAAAAAAAATTAAAAAAAATAATAATCACATGGCATACCACCAAACAAAAATGACAAAAAAAGGATATTGACAATTTTTCCCCGCGCACCAGGTATAGAAGAATTAGCTCAGTTTGTCCCCAGTATAACTTTTTTGTTGTTTTTTTCTGACCACTGCATGCTAGGGCCTTCATCCAGGTGAGAAATTTCTCCAGGGCCCAGGTCAGATTGACTACTTTTTCTTTTCTGTTGCTATTACACACGCTGTATCGTCTAACAGCATGACCATTATGTATTTTCTTCTTCGTTTTCTTCTGCTTACTGGCAGTTGGCAACTAATTTAATTAGAGCAGGTAGTTGTACTGCCTGCTAGTGGAAGACAACGTAATTGTTCTGCAAGTTACTCACGTCGGTCGCTGGAACCAGATAATCTTCAACGTAACACTTGATCAACTCTCACGGCACTATGCGCCGGCACAGTGGTTGGGAAACACTGGTCTACAGTGACCCCTTGTGGACACTGAGATATTGCGGTGATGAGTAGATGTGATTGTGACTCTACTAATTATGATATTGCCTGTTTCTGTTTTCAGAAAATCATGCTCATAAGTCACACCTACTGTATACTCCATAACAATAAGTTCAAGTATGGCTGCACCAAATTTGGATTGAGCCTGGAAAGATCTCTGATGTAAACAATTCTTCTGTGGAACTTAGTTAAAGACAGTTAACCCAACTCCTGCGGTCTTTCTGAAAGAAGACTTAGTCCAGACTTGTATACCCAGACTTCATGTATTTCTGTATGTATTAATGCATATAGTCTATAGTGTGGATGGGTCCTTATTCTGGTTACAATCTTATGGTTTGTTTTCAACACACTAACAATACACTAACATGGGATGAACATGTGGAAGATCTACTTCTTTTGCTACTGAAGCCAGTTTGAT